TAAGAAATCATTTACTCCTTGATGGTATGTGTAAGAGCTTTCTTAAGCAAAATTTGTCAATTTAAGAAATTTCTACATGAATTTATTATACCTGAAATATTGCTGAAAGAATCAGAAAAATAAATTGTCCCAACTAAAACAAAAATTAATCTTAGAAAGAAATCTAGTTTTTACTAGGAACTGTGCTAGTCACCTCCATTCAGTGTATTTTCTTAGAGACTTCTAAAGAAGGAAAACATGCTGATATAAGCATAGTGAATTTGTGAAGAAGATTCTAAATGTGGTTAAGCAGAGCGGTCTTAAAAAAACTTATGTTAGACTCAAATTCTACATGCCACTTCAAAAACCATTATATAACACAGCCATTTTTGGCCACCCAGCTTTGAATGGGTTTGAATAGGTAGCATCAGAGAGAGAATATAGATTTATCTGAAAAACTGGATTTGATTAGGCACTCAGACACATATTCTAGACTTTAGGGAATCAGATTTCAAAACTTCTGAGAAAAGACAAATAGAAACTCTTGGCAAAAACACTCTAAAGTAAAACTCATTTCAATCAAAGGGATAGGAGGAGGTAAGCATAAAGTCCATTATTACACAACTTCATATAATTTCAGTAAGGAAGAAAACAGGGAGGCATGTTAAAAATAAACAAACCAACATCTAAAAACAAAAACAAAAACCCAATGTAACTTTCTAGACAACTCACTGATGAGCTCAGATTAAAGGTCTGGACAAAAGATGAAAGAACAGGGATTGAGGAAGCTTACAGGGGAATAACATGAACATGAATAAATAGTACCAGGAAGTTCAGAATAAACTTTCAGAAATAATGACATCCACAACAACACAAATGAAATACGGTTTTCTTTTTTTTTTTCTTTTAAGGTTTTAGAATAAGTCAGGAGCTAATGCAAACAGTATAATATTAACAGCTGACTGAAAGAAACGAGACACAACAACCCCTATTTAGTATTTTTAAACCAAAAAGGGAAGAATCACCAGTATTTAATAAGAAGTGGCTGATGTTTCCTATCTGTGACATGAGCATGAAGATGCTATATATGCCAATTTCCAGAGGACCTAAAACTAATGATAATCAAGATGAAAAAAAATTCATTTGCTGCAACGGTAGCTGAGACCAACAAAAAAATATACATAATTGCAAACTTCTACATTTGGGTTTTATAAAATTCAACCCTACCCTAAAAGTACAGAATGAGACAGAAAAATTTAGCAGAAATTCGGAAAAACAACTAAAGATGTTCAGTAACTGTAAGTGCAACAGGCAAGAGAATAACCTAAAAAAGCTAAGAGTCTTGAGATACAGTCATAAAATAATATAATCAAAATAGGAAAGCCGGTGGTCTTATACCATGAACGGCTCAGGCTACGTATGAAATACTGAGTTCCACTCTGGGTGTTTCATTTTAAAGGGGACACTGATTTCACAGGCAGCAAAGACAACTAATCAGAAAGGTGAAGCCTTGAGAGTGGGTCAAGAGGAATGGTAAAGAGAAAAGGAAGGTTTAGCTTGAGAAAGAGAACATTTATGGGAAGTGGACCTGACTTTTTTTTTTTTTTTTTAAATGCCAGAAGGGCTGTACAAGGGAGGAATTTACCCTTAGATTCCAGGTGCTCCTAGAGGGCAGAACTAGAAAATTATAGGGAGGTGAACATAAAGATTATTTTGTAACAATTTATTTACTTACAGAGGAGTAGACAGCAGTGAGCCATCTAGCCCTGGAGGAACTCAAGTAGGCTAGGTACACAGGGAGGGAGGTGGGACTAGATGAGATCTAAGACCCCCTCCCCTCCTCCTGAACATTATGGGTCCACAACTATGACACACAAAAAGATGAAAAACACATCAAAAGATGAAAAACTGTACCCTAATCTCGGTAATTCATTAAATAGCCAAAACTGCTTGGAGTAGCAAATACCTGTGCTGTTTTTAAAAATATTAAAACTGTTCAGAGACATTTCTTAATGTCCATAGCTTTTCATATTTGATGTTTTGAGCTAATATATAAAAAAGAAAGAGTTCTCCAAGCAACAACTGGGAAATACAAATAATGATTACTTTTTGAAGTCATTATTATTTCGATCCAGGTATTTTTGTTCTCTCGCTCATATTTTACAGATGGGGAAGCTATCAAAAAGGTTAAATGACTTGTTGAAAGTTACCCAAAGGTATCAGGGGTGTTATCTGGAATAATATTATTGTTGGAAGACTTCTGCATATAAATCACCTAATTTCTTTCTCCTGGCATTATCCACACAGTGAATCACAAGTTAAGGAAAGGAAGTCCCAGGTCAGATCTAGTCTTACTGTTTTATGGATAAATTTAAATAGACTTCCATACAGACGTCTATAAGAAGGCTGGCTTAGATCAAAAAGCACTCTGACTGGCCAAACTCTAAGTCAAAGTTCAAAATGGAGAGATACTTTGCTTCTCCAGAAAAACAGCAGTTACTGTGAGGAGGACCGCGCGAGGAGTGTTTGGCAGCCTGACACAATTTGCCAGATGATGCAATGGATCTGTAATGCTGAGCCAGGAAAAGTAAGAGGCTGTTGCAGATATAAATTCTCAACAGGGTATATTTTCCATTCAAACATGCAATCTATAAATCAGACAAAGCAATACTCTACTCAGATAATTTATGTACTGCTTGCCACAGGCTTAAGCACTTGGTAGCTAACTTGGGAAAGCACCCTCTCTATCGTTCTGGTGTTAATTCCAAAGACGAAAATTATAAGGATGTTTAAAATCTCTCAAGGAGAAGAAAAGAAAATCTGAGTAACTTAAAACAGGTGTTTCAAAGTAGCAATGCAATTCTTAAGTGAATTTAACTTTTAAGATCCTGGGGTATATAACGTGTCTCAATATTTTCCTTGTTTTTGATTCTTAATTTATCAAATGAATCCCTTACACCACTCTTGTGAAAAAGCTGAAATTCTGGCTCAACTAAAGTCCTCAGGTATGAAGATACTCTAAGTACTTTCCCTAGGAATTTCTGCCTAATATGGAGCCCTGTGTAAATCAAGTTTTGGGAATGCTTGCTGGGAATCTGGTGGAAAGAAATGGACGCTGTGAGTTGCCAGTACAATTGTTTCCTTTTCAGACTCCAGCATTACCGAGGCCTCAGGACAGCTGACTAACCTGGTGATGATGTCAAGAGTAGTAGCCTGTGGGATCTGGATCTGCTGAGGAGTCAGCCCATGCTGTTCCAGTTGCTTTGGGATCAAGTGCCTGTGAGCAATCTCAATCTTCTCCTCTTGGGTATACCCTAGGAAAAAAGTGATCTTATTTTGTAATTATTCACACAGCTTCCACAGTGCCATGCTTTCTTAAGTGAATCAAATGCAGATTTAATGGATCTTGGATTTAGAATGAATTTAAGTGTTACTTCAACTAAGATTATAACCAGAAGAAATGTGACCTCCAATTAGTAATTGTTAAAATTTCCAACTTTGTCCACAAATAAAAAAAGCATTTACTCCTAAGCACAGGTTTGAAAGTCTCCTGATTAAATAATGTATCTCTCAAGGAAGAGGAAAACTCTCAAATCTCTAAGATAATTATCTCCTTAACTCAAATGTGAATTTTCACTATTTAACAGGCAAATAATACAGCTCTTGTCTTTAGCATAATTTCATACATAAGTGAAACAACTTACAATGACAAAGGATTCAAGTCAGCCACTGGTGGGTTCTAAGGCAAGAACTGCAAAGGAGCTTTTCCAGAACCCTGCCTATAAATTTAAGCAACAAAACAGAAACTAATACACCCCCATAGAAATTTTTTCCCTATACATATTGGAATTATATATATAAATTATATAGTTAAAAGACTTTTTGTTATTTATTTGAAAGCCTCAGGAATATAGATTTACTTTGTCTTCAAACCCTGTAAGAAAAAATTCTCCCTAAATTAATCGCCCCGTCTCATTTAACAAGGAAAAAAAAAAAAGATGAACTGATACGACAGCTTTTGCGTAGAAAAAGGAAATAAGAAATGCCCAAATAGAAGATGGGATAATCAAACCTGCAGGAAGAGACTGGCATCATATGTCTACCTGTGCAGCAGCTGTCTTGATTATTTTACTTCACGTCAGTGTATCTTATGGATTCCTGCCTTAATTGGGAGTTTCCAGGCAATTGGGTCTCATTACTTTTTTATTTTAGTCTTTTTTTAAAGATTTTATTTATTTATTTGACAGAGAGAGAGAGAGCACAAGCAAGGGGAGTGGCAGAGGGAGAGGGAGAAGCAGGCTCCCCACTGGGCAGAGAGACCGACATGGGGCTCAATCCCGGGACCCTGGGATCATGACCTGAGCTGAAGGCAGATGCTTAACTGACTGAGCCAGCCAGGCACCCCTATTTTAGTCTTAAAAATATGCACATAGCAATTTTTTACTCTACCATATTTTAAAACTAAGTATCGGAACCTGCAGGGCTCACAGAAAACTAAGAAATGCAATTATTCACATGATAGTAAAAATTTATTTCAAATTAGTATGAAATACATATTTAGATTATATTTAGAATCAAAATATATTTTGAGTCTTGTCTATTTTCATTTTAACAAATTCTCACTTATGTTTCACCCCTCTAGGGAAAAATAATTCTAAGCAATTAAAAGAAAGTGAAAACACTGGGGTTTTTTAGTGTTAGTAACTAAAGGACTTTATCTTACACACTACAGTGAAGGATAAGACATGGTAAAAAGAAAAAAAATAGGGAACTATTTGACAGAAACAACTAAAAAGAAGAGGAATTTAAAAGCACCCTGCCCTGCATTTTTATGTAAAAGTGAGGCCAGATGTAATAAAAGTTCAGCAACTCTTTAGGACCCAACACTTAATGAGGAGAATAAATGATTACACTTTCTCAGACATAGTAAAAACTTCAAAATCTTATAGACAAGAAGCTAAATTGACCATGTAAAGATCTATTATTGGTTTTTAGACACTCATTTTGAAAAGAAATGATTTTTATGTATAAGTTTAGCAATTGTTTCAAAGAAGAATGTCGTATTTTCTAAGACATTGGAAAACATTTTCTAATGCTAAGAATTTTTTAATGCAAAGTTAAGTCTGAAATTGTTATGCAAATTTTATTCTTGATGTCTTACAGAACATACACATAATCTTATAAGTCATGGTTAAAACAAAGTTTTGTCGTTCCAGACTTTGAATTTACATAAAAGCTGGTTTATACGATACTTAGAACTTTGAAGATCATACACTGGCAAATCAACTTTTTACTCAAATTTCCACAGCACAACTTAAAGGGTTTTGCTCAGAAAGGAAAAAATTATCAAATAATGATTTTATTTATGAATCAGGTACCTGGGACTTGAATGATCTCCATTCTGTCCAACAAGGCAGGTGGAATAGTCGCAGTGGTATTGGCAGTAGCTATAAAAAGAACTTGGGAAAGGTCAAATGCCACATTTAGATAATGATCTGTGAAGTTATGGTTTTGTTCAGGATCCAACACCTGTGAGGGAACAATAAACATTTAAACAAATTCAGTAATTCCAATAGAAAGCTAAAACACACATGAAACGCACACGATGTACTAGCAACGTTGGTATTTCTCATCAATATAGTTAGCTTGAGAAACATAGGGATAACACCAAAACCTGAGCACCATTCTTTACATTACCCATGTTCTAAATACTAAAAACAAAAGTGTTCAATGTCAACATTTTTGAAAATATATAAAAGTAGAGAGAAGCAAAAATTATCCCTTCAAGCTCTGTTCTTAAATCTATTTACTAATGATTGACTAAATGTGGTCATAAATAAGTTACCAATCTAACAGAACCAGTTTCCCTCTTGCTAACATATCCTCTCTTAATGGCTTTGGGAACATAAAGTAAATGTGTAGACTATTTTGAAATTCTTAGGTAAGACATAAGATAATCAGTATACTTCTCAAACATTATCCGTAAGTCTGGTTATAAAGTCTTTAACTGAAAGGAGAATTCCAAACAACAGTAAACTAGTAAAAATTACTATGCTACTATATTCTGATATAGCACAAGGAAAAATTCACTTTTAAAAAATGCGTTAGAACAAAACTTTTGTTTTTAATGAGCAAAATATCAGTATCTCTTAAAATATTTTATTTGGGAAATTATGTAATTTATCAATTAGATTCTTAAAACTTTGAACAACTGGCTAAGAGAGAATGTATCTTCTTTAGGTTACTGCTCAAATGCTCCAACTCACAGGCATTCACGGTGGAGAGGTCTGCATAGGCCTCAGTGCCTTCTACATGTCCTAAACCTTTAACATATTATCACTTTCATTTATACTAGATTATATACATATAATAAACAGGGTTGATACACATATTCAGAAAGAAGGTAAATGGACTAAAATATTTACCAATGATAATGTTACCACAGCACCAGTTTTTCCTCGCTTCTGATTCCCTTTCTAAGCTTTACTTATTGTTAAACGTATGTACAAGTTAGTCTTAATTCAAAGCCCTATACAGAGTATCTTGAATTTGGTAAACATTCATTATTATTGGAAACTCAGTGTTTATCTAGAATACAATCCCTAGAAAGTTCTACTATTTGTATTTTCACAAGACTTAGTAATGTTTAACCTTATAAAACTAAGGTACTTTAGAGACATCAAAGACCATACTAATTATGTCCAGTACAGAACTGGTTAAGAGTGATCTTACTGTCTACCAATTATCTGAAAACTGTTAATCAGTGTATGGAAAATAAGGCAATCTTAGTTGAATCCATTATCTAGTTAAATAAAAACCTATTCTTTAATGGCTCTAATTAAATCTAACACATGTTGGATAAGTTTTAGAAATGGCTGTGAGACCTGTCCAAGTGAAGTAATTTTTTTCTCTTAAAATGAAAAGACAAGGGGGCAGAGCAAGATGGCAGAGGACTAGGAGACCTGGATTTCCTCTAGTCTCAGGAATTCAGCTGGATAGGGATCAAACCATTCTGAACGCCTACGAACTCAACAGGAGATTGAAGAAAAGAATAGCAACAACTCTCTGAACAGAAAAGCAACCACTTTCTGGAAGGTAGGACGTGCGGAGAAGTGAATCCAAGGCCATATTCGGGAGGATAGACGGCGGGGGAGGGGGCCTCCGTCGGACGCTTCTGGCAAGTGATAGAGCCGCCGCGGAGCACAAAATCGGAACTTTTAGAAGTCGGCTCCGCTGAGGGACGTCGCTCCAGTGGCTAAGAGGGGGGTGGTGGTACCCTCGCTGGGACAGTGTGGTCTCAGGAGGCACGGAGTCACAGAAAGACTGGGGGTGCCTGAGTGCAGCAGAGCTCCCAGGTATCGGAGCGGGGAAGCCGGCTGCAGAGACGGAGACGAGGAGTGGGCTCTCAGCT